TCACAAGTAAATAGACACCACCTTTTCAGTCATATTCACATGAATTCATATATTTGTAATTTAATTAATATCTAGTAGATCTTCATTTCGCTTCGTGGAGTTCGTTGATCCTTTGGGGCATCGTGAGAATCATCTCGTCAATTTTAGATTGTGGGAATTTCGCCCACTCTTGCTTCAAAACTTGGAGTAGATCACTCTTCGAAGTTGGTTTTTTTTGTTGTTTCTTGACTTGCCGGTCGAGTATGGCCCAGAGGTTTTCGATGGGGTTCATGTCAGAAGATTGGCTCAACCAGGGCAACTTCTAGATACCATTTTCTTCCTGCCACTTTTGGGTGTTTCTAGCATTAACACAACGTTGTTCCAGGAAGATGGAGCACCGTGTCACTCATCGTGCAGTACAGGAAACACGGCAAGGAAACAACTGAGCAGCGTCCGGGTCGTCCTGGTCCATCGAGAGGACAAAAAGGGCTGTCAAGAGGAGCATCGAAATAGATCTCAGATTAACGACTGCAGAAGTGGCCAAAGTTGGTGGGATGAGCCCGAAGTCTGTTCAACGGATTATCTACAGATTGGGTTATCGTTGCGGAGCAGCTAGACGGAAGCCCTTATTAAGACCTGCCAGCATAGTCAGATGAAAGAAGTGGGCAAGTGATATGATGACCAAGCCTCTGGACTTTTGGAAGACCGTATTGTTCTCAGACGAATCAAGATTCGCTCAATTTTCGGACAGTGGAAGGGTATGGGTCTGGAAAATGCCTCACCAAGAGTTTTGGCTCAACAGGTTGCAGCCAACTGTGAAGCATGGTGGTTTCAGCGTGATGGTTTGGGGAGCTGTTTGGGTTGGTGGGAGATCGAGCTTAGTGGAGTGCGTTGGCAACATACATTTTGCGAAATACGTCGAAATATTGGAGGAAGGACTCTTGCCACTTTATTCCTCGGGTTTCGTGGACAAGTTTCTGTTGACTGTCGAAAGTGGGATTCCCAAATTCTGCGAATTTGCCGCTGACTTATTCCACTATCTGCTTGACCAACTATCATTCTTCTAACAAAATCTGACAATTCGAGAGAACCTTGAGTTCAAGGCATGTTGTAGCACAAGATAATTAGTGTGCGGACCATTTTCATTTATATAGTGCTCTGTGAACACAAATTAGTTAGCATAAATCAATTAAATGACGAAAAATTATGTGTCTATTTACTTGTGACCATTCAGTGTACATACCGTACTTTTTTCAGCACTCAAAAATATTTAATGAACACATGTAGAAGACTGTGAAGCTATAATACCTTGAACAAACCGCATTGTCGGATATGGTAAACACAGTGTTGTTGAAATATTATTATTATACATTTTTCTAATTCTTGAAAATCCCCGAGGGAGTAGATAAAGAATGCAGGGTTAAAAATATATTAGGCCTAATACTAACGTTTTGTGCCTAGTATAATTAGTTATAACCATGCTTTGTCATCTTGGGAAGGGCGTTCATACCATAACAATTGTTGTTGATTGTATTTTTATTTGAAAATTATAAATATATGTTAAATTAAAACAAACAATAACTATACTAATGAAGTGCTTTAATTAATTAATGTAGACTGGTTATTGCATTGGTGAATTTTTTTCGTTATCCATATAATACTAATAAGTGTATCAACTTTCTGGTTCGTTTGCCCTCCACTAAAGATTTGGTTCTAGTTGTGCCAATGGGAAAAATGGCCAAACAAAAAGGTGGAAATTGGAATCAGACTTCAAATAATGAGATGAGCAAACCTGGAAAAAGATGTTCTTTACAGATGAATCTAAATTCGATATTTGGAAACAAACGATGATAATTTTTCCGACTGTAGAGAGGGAACATTGCCATTGTCAAAATACAACATCTACAAAGAAGCATGCTGGAAGATCAGTACAAATATTGACTGCATCTTAACAAACGGTATTAATGGTCTACACAAAATTAACGATACCTTCGTTACTGAAAGGCGTAGCAGATTATTATCAATCAGGAACGAAACTTGTTGGGCAGGGATTGTCTTCCAGTAAGAAAGTGGTCTCAAGCATGCAGGAAATGTGGTAAAACAATAGATGGAAGGAGAAAAGTGACACATGGAACACTCACAACCATGGCTTGGCCTACACAAAGTTCTGATATGAATATTGTAAAGGTTATATGGATTTATCTGAAGACTGGGAAGGCCAAGTAATAACCAAACAGCCTGGCTAAATTGTGGGAAATAATATAGGAATTTGGAACAATATTTCACAAACTTACATTGATAAACTTATGCTAGCATTAAAACAAAGTGTACTACTCTGTTTATAGCAAATACAACATACTAGTGCACTGTCCAACTTCTTCACTTTGTATTTTCCATGATACTGTATTGTACTGATTATAAATTAACAAAGTAGTTACAATTAATAAATACTTATGACTTCAATGTGTGTTTCCGTTATTATTTACAAAATATTTAAACTTGGAATACATCTTGTTAATACAAGACTCATTTTTTGACCATCTCTCCCGGACTAGCTTCTGGTATTTCTGTATTGGGTTGTATGGATACATAAACCATACTATTGCTGGGTAAAGTATGACTGTTTCTACCTTACTTTTATAGGCTTTATGTTGGTCTGACACTGTCTGATTGGTTGGCTGACAGCCAACTCAGAAGATAAACTATCAGATATGACTGTAGTCTTTTGTCATGTAGACATGCCATGTGTTTGCTATCCCCTTGTATAATATATATATATATATATATTTCCATTTTTAATTTAGGCAGGTGTATGTTGATCTAAGGTAGAGCATCGGTAAAAAAAAAATCGCTAAGTTCCTTTTGCCCTAGCTGTCTATTATTCTGGGTCATTCACCTAAAGTACCTCTAGCTTCCCATGAGAAATGTTCATGTACACTTGTATGTATTATATGAAAGTATATCATTATCTTTTCCACTAGCAGGTTGGGGGAGATCTCAAGGATATAATCTACCTTATTTTGCGATGGGAATGGCCAACAATTACATGGGTAGCTTATATATTTTGAGAAGACTGCCATTATTGTTCTGTGCACTTAATGATACTTTTACTTAGTCTGGAACAGATTTTGAGGGATTCTGTAGATTCTAAGCATAGCTCTCTACAGTAAAATCACGGACGTGTGTCAGTATACATTTTTCATTGCGTTTTTGAATGGAATATACATTGTTTAATTTCGCCATACACTGTGTCCAGTCTATTTCATTTTTAAAACTCATCAAATTCAGATTAACTCCATAACACATTTTATGTCAAACCTCTGTTATTCTAAGAAACATACTTTGTCACTCTCAGGGAAATCAGCGCACTTGAAAATACCCACAGTCCGATGCAATTCATATTCGTAGAATATGGGGAGAACAGCCCTATAATATTTCATTTTTAATTCCAGATTTATTAACTGTTTCCATAATCATTTCAAATACTGTATATATATATATATATATATATATTTAAGGTCTCACTAATCTAGTAGTGCATAATAATTAAATACCATGTACAACTATGTTTCAAGCGCTGTTGTTTATCTGTAACGCTGTTTGATAAGCCAAAAATTCTTATTTCAAAAGGTATCTAACGTTTAATTATAAATCATTTTTTGTTAAACTCTTTTAAACAGATGATCAAAAATAAAATGACAGTTGTTTTTTTTCTCTTATCACTCTATACAATCAAAAACAAAAACATTCTATAAAGTCTCTTTTGTTCGTTATTGAAACTGTGGTGGGTTAAAACACAGCTAGCCCATTGTGTAGCTTTGCACTTAAGAACAAAACAACCGATATATAAATGATAACTGGCAAGTACCAAGGAATAGAGATACGTATAAAACTAAAATCTACTTGCAAATCATAGCAAGTTAATGATGCTAATCTGAGTTTAATTATCAGTTTTTACGTAATACATAATACTTTGAAACCTGTACTTTAAAATATATTATTCATTTTTATATCGTACATTATCATTATCTAACAGACAATGGGGACAAAAAGTTGCACATAGTCTTAAAAGTAATATCAAATAGTTATTAGTTTTACTCCGATAAATCATATTGAAAGTCCGTGTTTTAGATCGTTTTTCTTTAAATCCTTGAAGAAAAAGGACTAACTCACAAAATAATTATACTTATCACACGATTATTTTGTATTTAATCTATAAAAATCAAAATTAAACGAAAACTTTTTCTATAATATATATATATATATATTTCTTTTTCACTAAAATTCTATGCTAAGAACCTCTGATTCAAATGTAATCTAATCCATATTAGACTTCCATGGTTTAAGAAACTAAGATTCTTATTCAGAGAAAGTAAACTGTAATATTGTTATAAAAATATATTCTAATGGCTCAGAGTTACATTATTTTGCCTTTTTTTATACAACCACAATGATTATTTATTTTTTATTTTGATACGTTTTCATTTCCTTTTAGATTTCAGATTTAGATCTATAAACAAATTCTAGGAACGGAATTATTGTAATATATGTTTTTGCAAAACTTCTTATAGACTATGTTGTGTGAAAAAAAAATAAGAGAAATTTCGGGGTCCTCACCTTTAATTTTCTATTTAAATTACAGCTCTCCAGTGGCTCACCGGTAAGTCCGAAGGCTTATAACGCTAAAAACCTGGTTTCGATACCTATAATAGGCACAGCATAGATAGCCCGTTGTGTAGCTTTGCGCTTAACAACATACAAATCTTAAATTACAAAATTTTGTTATGAGTCTTGCATTTCTATTAATTGACTTTTAATGTTTTCAATTGAAATTCTTGTAAAAATAATTGGATTAAGAGCAAGTTAATTAAAAAAGGATAAGACGAAGCTGTGACCATGTTTTCTTGCGAAAAAAATGCTCCAAAAATGCAGTAATCGTCTCTATTTACTTGTGTGTGTGTGAGCAGCTGACTAAAACTTGAATTAAAGAGGAAGTGGGTTATAATTTACAAAACACACTCTTTTCCAAAAATAACATTTATTACAATATTCAGTCTAGAAAACACTTCACTTCCAGAAGTACATTTTGATAGTCACATGATACAACGAAGATCACAAATATATTATTCAACCATGAAACTTCTACAAAACTTCCAGGATTTGTCAACATGACACCATAAAAACTTTAGTATCAACAATAGATGAATTTTTGCACTATATGTAAAGAAATCTTTTCCTATGATTTGCTATAAATCTAGAGTAGATTGTCAACAGTTGACTTAAACAGCCGTAATGAAATGTTCCAAGCTAATAAGCATTGTAGTTCTTTCATATTGAATTTAAAAATCCTCTTCACATTGGCGTTATAAAATTAATTTACATTTTAATTATAAGAAATTATACTCTATTCTAGTAATCAAAATTATTTCATCTAGTTATGTTGTAAGAAAAATCCATAATATTTACTAATACATTGCTTCAACTGCAAGTATACGCAGGTGCAGTTTTACAACAATTTACAAAAATTAACGCGATTGTTTATCAAAGAATGATTATTTGTCAGATCTACTACTTCAAAAAGTTTCTTAAGATACAAGTAAAAGCCTTTTGACCATAAGAAATGGCTGGCTGAGAAAATTGATCTCTGAAACTTTCTTCAGTTCTGAAGTTTGTTTCGGGACTAAGTTATGTCTACAACCAAGGGCACTTTTTTCACGTCTTGACTCAGTTATGTCAAATAGAGAAAGAAACATCGTGATTGACGGACTGAGTCAGTGACAAATAAGCTATTTTCTGTTTCCAAGACATTTTGAGATCACCATTATTTGTCTGAGAATTATCTAATATAATCTTAAATTTTCTATACTTATTGATTTATACAGTTAATTATTTAATTTTTTATCATTCTCTTTTCCTGATGCTCTTACCAAGAATATACAAAACATACACCTGTACAGAGACCAAACTGATCATAAACGTTAAGGTTTAAGCTATGACATATACACTAAAACACGTCAGCTAGACGTCAGGCTAATCGCGAAACAGAGAGAAATAATTCCCAAAGGCTATTATGCACAGCATGTCGAAAATAATTTGCATGTAATAATTTCTGTTTTACAAGCTAAAAGAAGGAAAAAAAGGAGTAATATTTTCATATCATATCCTAGTTTCTAGAATCAGAACGATCGTTAGACTTACAGAACATTATATTTGTCTACTCGTAGGATAGCTAGTTCGTCCTGTATGGGTATATGCATTTTTAGTATGGTCAATATAAACATACATACATACATCTGTATATATATATATATATATACTAGACAACATATTTATTATTTTAACTTCTTAACTACTTATTTTAATCTTTCCCTGTCAATATTATCAATATGAATTTCTCTACTTCGTCATCAAAGACAAGAAACACAAAAACACAATTTGTAGTATGATACAAATATCAACTTTTAACATACACGTGACACATTAGTTATTGATCAAACGTTCACAGATATATATAATAAAGCCGTATCCAAGATTAAGTCTAGCGAATATGTGAAGGTTTATTTAGATTAGGGAAGTTCGTGTTAAGTTGGTAAAGCATAACAATAATTTCAGTATATAATATGCTTTTCGTTAAAGTTCCTATGACGTTTGGTTTTTACATTTTATAGGTAGTGGTGTTTAAAAAAACAAAACGTTGCTATGAATATTCCTTAAGTTAGCAAAACAATCACGTTTAAAAATTCATAAATGTTGTCATTTATAAAGGACTACCTTCAAAATTTCTCCAGAATTCTTGTAAGAGGAAATACGTGATATTAATATCTGTGGTGATTTTTCAATAAATAATGCGTTGTAAACACGTGAACAAATTAAGTGATACGACAACAAATATTACGTTATCATAAAATGAAATACATAAATATGAGGAAACCTGCAAGTCAAAGGAACTCTATGAGATGAAGACGTTTCGGCATATTCTGTCTTAATCAAATGAGGAGCTCAGTGGCAAGACTGGGGGCTTGTAACGCTAAAAATCTGGTTTCGATACCTGCGGTGGGCATAGCACATACAACCCATTTGTATAGCTTTTTGCTAAACAACAAAATTTTAAAAAAGTCTAATGGGCGCTATCCAAACACCTTCACCTTCTGAACCAAAACACCAATTAAAACAAATGTTCATAAATAACTCACATGTGGGAGAAGGAAAACAAACAAATTTGATGTGTTTATTAGTGCACACAACCGAGCATTCTCAAAAATGGCATATAATAGTGAAAGTAGTAATCTTAAGCTTTTTAATTTGACTTCTACAATTATAAATAATACATTGATTGTAAAGATTCCTAAAACTTAAGTAGAAGTAAGATTTCTTTTGCTGGATATCAGTTCACAAGTTTCTTCTAGTTTTTAATTAAATGATATCTTTGTCTTTCAAAAGTCTTAAAACTATGGTACAGAATACCCACCTATAATTCTAATGTTTAAAATACATTAGTTTCAGAATTATTCTAAATATTTTTATTGAAGCAAATAAAATTACTGTTTGTTCGAAACATCTGAACTTCAACAAATTCAATTAAAAAGTAGCTTAATTACAGCTAACAGAAGTTATATTTGTTCATCTATAGTGTTAAGAGTTTCGCAACGATACATATTTAACACTCAATATACTGATACAAACATTATCATTGCCAATTAATTGACATCAACACCGCATGCGCCACCTTTTTATCAATTTAACTGGGTCAAAACACAAGTGTACAAAGGCACAGTTTTACAAACGACAAATAGTTTCACTTGACAAAATTTGTGCATGTGTAAATACCAAATACAGGCACGTGTGGTATAAACAGATTGCAATAATGATCACTATAACAACGTACAGACTCAACAATATACATCACACATTGTTATCTATCCACGAACCACTATAGATATAAAGAGTATTTTTTAACAATTAGATCTGACAATACAAATACAAAACTCTCCGTAAAGATATTACATCACATATGTGGCACAGTAAAGTTTATCCTTGAAAAGATTCAGGAACAAAGTTGCAAATAAGTTATAAATTAGTTTATTTAAAAATTAATTTGTACTAGAAAATAATTTTATTCAATTTAATTTCTCTACAAACTAGGATTCCTCAAGATAAAGAATAAAAATATGGCACGAGTACTTGTGAAGGTGGGATTTTTTTTTTCTCATTTTATAGGACTACTAAAAAGGTGTCAAATCTGCCGATAAGCCGCGTTTCTATTTTCGTAACTTACCATTATGAGTGAATTTGTGAGTTCTAAGAATATTATGCAAATATTTGTCGAGATTATTTCTGCCACTGAACTGATATACTCAAATCTTGAAGTTAAACTATGTGATACAGAAAGAATTTTGTACTCTTTAATTATTACGGATGAATAATGCCCGAGTCACAAAAAATAATAGCCTGAGGTTAAGTTAACTCTAGTTATTGTTATACAATATTGTAAAGTTAGTTTCTATTCTAAACTTCATTATAACTGTCTTCTGTGTATTAACTTTCAGTAAGAATACATAGAATTGTACATTAAGATCTCTATAAACATAATAATAAGTTTGTTTAGAAGTGAGGCATAAAATAAGAGGCTTTTTATGATAGAGAAGGGTGAAGATTGACACTCAGTTTGAAATAGTTTCAAAGTATATCAGTAGTATTGGTAGCATTACTCAGGGCGTTTTAAGGAATTAATAACTCCATTCAGTTTGACAACAATATTTAATTTCCGATTTATCAAATCATTTTTAAATATTGACTGTAAAATATATATTCTACCATATATATATATATATGTATATATATATATATATATGTGATATATCAATTTTACTGATGTGATATTTAGCAAACTTCACGATAAATTTCTTAATCTCTCTCTCTCTCTTTATAAATATAAAGTATGTAAAATTTTCATTTAATTTAAAACAATGTTCACATTTGTCTGCTAAAGTTCTCGGCCTTCAGTGACTTATTATTACAAAATTAGACACCTATTTTTATACAAAAACTAAGTGGAAGCACATCAATACATGCTCAAACAACGTACTCAGGGCCAATTTGGCACATAACATACACATATTTATTTACAGAAAGAGATTAAAAGTGCCCCAGAAAAAAGCAACCCATTCTACTTGAAAGACTTGATCTACCATCTGGTGGCGAATTTACTCTCTACCTCTCCAACCGCCCCGTCTGAGATGTCTGGTGATATTTATCATTTTGATTGTAACCGATATCCTCAGCATTACGGCACTCCTCCAAGTAGGACGGTTGGATACGGTACATTCCCGTATCGGCCTGATACAATAGTGTTTCCAAGATTCGTTCATTGTTGATTGTCTTTGTTGGTAGGACCACCTGGAACCATAAAGTAAATATTCTTTTCTAGATCATTTACTACAGAACTCTATGAGGGTGGATCAGAAGACTTTATGTTCAGTCTAATTTCTCATTATAGCACTGCTTAAATGTTAGACCGTCCTTAAATTGTTCGCAGTGGCGAGAGATACCCGGCAGCCTGGAACGATCTTTCAAATACTAAATACCCGGCAATCCAAAGATTTGGATTTTGTCTACAACAATAATAATAATAATGATAATAATAATAATACTAATGATAATTTAAGAAATTATATTATCACAAATATATATATATATAAATTATCATATTGGAATCTTATAAATATACATTATCGTGAAATTATGGACTGCCGGGTATCTAGTATTTTGAGGATCGTTCTTAACAGCTTGTAGCAAACACACACACACATTGATTGACACAGAACAAGAATAACGATCGATATTTATTTTTCAGTGCAAAAGTTTTATTCAGATCGTTTCATCGAGCTGGAAGACAAATCAGCCTCGTAATTTACTATTACTTATTCTCTAAGTTAAGTAAGAGGTGATTGTAGCTCATCAATATTCAAATTCTTGGACTACTTGGTATTTAGTATTTGAAAGATCATTCTCGGCCTGCCGAGTACCTAACCACTGCGTAAATTGTTTTCGATATCTTTTAATTGAAGTTGACTTCATTTACAAAATCTCTTGGAAGCCGAATTTCTTTACAACATATTAAGTCTTGATGAGAAATTATTATGAATTAGGACCGAAAAATCTCTACCATAACGTGTTTTCTTAGCCATAAATTATTCTTAAATTTTGTGATGCTGGAGCTGTAATTTCCAGAGACAGTGTATATCAATAGTTCACATTTAAAGGAGATATTTCGAGCTCCAATAACTCTTATAAATTGGTCTAATCGTGGCGTTCATCATATGTCATTCAGCAGGAAGGGAAGAGGGTATCCAGTAAATCCTTTTGACGAATAGCTTTGGGAAAACTCCCATTTCTGGTCTCGGTTATGAAACAACTATTATCTGGCAAAACACTAGGCTTAGGACTACAGAAGAATAAATGTATGGACGTAATCTTCAGTCAGATGGTATGGTTGTTGAAATGACTAACAGAAATTCTACTAAGCAATAATAATGTAATCAAGAAACTTGGCAGTAAGGTTCTGTTTTACTGTTCTGCCAAGTTCTTTGATTGATATTTGACCTCAGCCTCATATATAGCAAATAACTGTCACGGTAAAGTGGATTTGCCATTTTTAGCTTATACTATAAAACCATTTCCTATTAAATAGTACTCGTGTTACTGCAATGAGAAACGTAATTGACTAATTGATTTCCGGTTTTTGATCATTTATGAAGCTATGACGTGAACTAAGTCGATCCCTAGATCGCCATGGGATACATTTTTAGGCAAATAATTTCATGCAAGTAAAATAACATTGTAAAAACCCTAAATAGCTCGCAATATGCCATTTTTTTCATTTTTAGTATAATACCTTGTGATATTATTATTCTAGTACTCAACTATATATTATCCTCTGATGCTATTATTCTAGTATTAACTTTTACAAGATTCTTCTAGTATGTACTTTTATAGGATCCACTGATGTTTAACTTATAGTATTCACTTTTATAAGACATTGTGATATGTTTAGTTTTTGGTACTCACCTTTATAAGATCCTGTGGAGGTATTTTGTACAATTTTAGGTCACGGGTCAGTCTGTTCATTGTACAGTGAAGCTCCCAGGGATCTGTCAAAAATAGACAAACTGTTTATAAAACATATATTTCTGATTTCGGGATATACGCAACAGTAATCAATTTGCTTATTTGTTGGATTCCGCACAAACCTACATGAGAGTTGTCTACGTTAGCTGTCCCTAATTTTGAAGTGATGGACTTGAGAAAAATCACTTAGTCAATACCACCAACTCTTGGGCTACTCTTATCTTACAGAATAGTAGGATTTGACCTTTATTCTTATAATGCATTAACAGCCTCAGTGTGCGGAACACAACATTAAAGATATTTCTTGTAGATAAAATATTCTCATGACATAGTACATGAGGTCACAACCGTGAATATTTGATACGCTTACTCCTAATGCCGAAAATGGAAAGTCAGTATAAAACGACGATGCATATCACTGATTAATATTTAAAGAAAAGATACATATCATTCTTTTAGGTATAAAGTAGCTCTTGTATAACATAAACAAAATGTCCCCGGGACTTCTACTGTTAAAAATCAAGGTTGAATTCGGGTGTTGGCCAGAGCTCAGACAGACCATTTTGTAGCTTTGCGCTTACAAAACAACAGCATCAACAATATAAAAAAATCTCAAATATAATAAATAAAAAAGTGACGTCGTTGCTACAAAACGCTGGATAAGTAACTTATACTTATTTTTTGTTGAATCGTAAGATTATCTTTCATTACTTTAATGTGAAGATAAAGTAGTGATAAAATGCTGTAATATATTTGATTCTCAAACGTTAGGCTTAACAGTATTGACAACAGGCTACTGGTATTTAGTGTTAAGCATTTATTTCCAGGCTAGAAATACAATGGTTAAGACTTGTTGAGTATTTATTTCCAGGCTACAAATACTATGATCAAAACTAATGTAGGAGTTAAGCGTTCAAAGTTTGATAGGTGTGGTGGGTGCAATGAGCGTGTTTTATTTGGGAAGTCGGGACTGATATGTACTTTTAAGGAAGCTATTGATGAAGATGTCCAATTTATTTGTAGAGTTTGTAAGTTGGTGACTATTCTAATTAAAGTAGAAGCAATAGATAAGGAGAAGTGTAAACTTTGGGAAATGGCAGCAAGATTTCAGGAGTAGCTTAAGCTTTTACATGCAAGGAATACATCATCTAACAACGACTTTCAAGAAGTTAGAAATAGAACTATTAGGGCTAAAAGTAGTGGATTTAATTCTAATGAGCATGTTCTATTGAGCAACAGATTTCAGCCCTTGGCTTGGGCAGATAAGGAACTATTGGAAGTAAGGAAAACAAAATAGACAGAAAATGATGTTAATGATAAATTTAAAGAAGTTATTGTTATAGATTATTATTTAACAAGGCATGTGGATAGGGAGAAACGAATTAGCTTATGTTACCCAGGGGCAGGGGTGGAGGATATAACTGACAGAGCAAGAGATATAATAAAGGAGGCTAGCAGAGATGCAGTTTTTGTTGTGCACGGGTGATCTATGAAAAGGTAGGCCAGAGAAGCTAATTGATAAGTACAAGAGTTGATAAAAGCATTAAAAAAAAACGGCCATAACACTGTGTCAGCGATGCTGCCGAGAATTAATTGTGGGAAATAAATTATAAGTAGGTCATTAGGGCTGAATTCTAAATCAATTTAATGGGAGAAGGGAGGTTTTAATAATGCATGGTTTACATTTAAATAGGGTAGGGTATGGATTGCTTGCATGGGCTATTAACTCAGCTGTAAACGAAGTTTTAAGTTAGGACTAGACTGTGGTGAGGGCCAGGATAAACTAAATGCACAAAAATTAGATGTAACGAAAAGTTTAGCATAGGAAATGAGTATAGATGATTTTAGAGCGCTGGTTAGAATGGAGGACTTTGATATAATGGGAAAAACTGAAACATGGTTAAATGTAGACGATTTTGATGACAGAAATGTCTTTGAAATACATGGTTATAGGTTAATTAATAGAAATAGAGCATTAAAGTGAAGGGGAGGAGTGACTTTATATTTAAAATGTGAATTAAATCCTGTTGAAGTTGAGGATATCAAAGATAATAGCAAGGAAATTGAATCCATTTGGGTTTCTGTCAGCAGATATAAAGGAAAGAGGCTTTTAGTGGGAATTTGTTACCGACCACCAGATGATACTAATGAAATTAGTGGGAAATTTTACAGTAAGATTAAGATTTTAGCTGTTAATGAGGTCATACTTTTGGGTGATTTTCATTTCGAGAATATAGACTGGGAAATGTTATAGTCAAATTATGAGGGAGAAAGGTTTTTGGAAACTGTTCATAATGGTTTTCTTCACCAATTGGTTAAGGAACCTACTAAAAAATATGCCATTTTAGATTTATTGTTAACTTATAATACAGAAATTGGGGAACATCTGGGTGCAAGTAATCATTGCTCTATGAGGTTCGAGGTTTTGGTGCATGTTTAAATCAGGAATAACGATATTTTGGTTACAAATTTCAAAAAAGCAAATTTTGAATGAATGCAACAAGAATTATCTGTTGTGAATTGGGCAGCTGAGTTATTTGGAGACACTGATGAAAAGTGAAAAAATTTTTAAAGATGAGTTTTTTTAAATATTCAAAATAAACCTATTTTTTATAGAAAGAAATTTTGTGTGTTTGTTTGAAGTTAAGCACAAAGCTACACAATGGGCTATCTGTGCTCTGCTCACCACGGGTATCGAAACCCGGTTTCTAGCGTTGTAAGTCCGCAGACATACCGCTGTACCACTGGGGGGGGCTATAGAAAGAAAAGGGTAGCTGCAAGTAAGGAACCAGGTTGGCTCACAAAGGGTATAAGGGATAAAATTAAAGAAAAGAATCACATATTTAAGAAATTTAAATTGACTGGTATGACGGGAGACTTAGAAGATTATAGAATATCAAGAAAGTTGGTCAAACAGCAAATTAGGACGTCAAAAAGTATGTATGAATAGAGGTTGCCTGAAAAAGGAAAAATTAACAGTAACGATTTCTTTAAGTACATTAAAGGTAAACAAAATGTTAGGATGGGGCAGGGCCCTTGAGGGATGATAAAGGAAGGCTCATATCTAATGATTATGAGATTGCTGGGTTCTTAAATTATGCTTTTCTTCAGTTGTTACTAATGAAGATTTAAGCAGTATTCCTCATCTTGAACAGTTGATAGATGGAAACAAGATCGAACAAGATAATCACATTAATTCTTAGCTTGTTAAGAAAAAATTGGAAAATTTAAAAATTATAAGACTCCTTGGCCAAATAATATTTCCCCAAAGGTTTTGAAGGAGGTTAAATATTGGATATGTGAGCCACTTGCTACTATTTTTTGTACGTCTTTGAATAGGGGGCAGGTACCAAAGGATTGGAAGTTGGCTGATGTTAATTTTACTTTCAAGGGAGGTGATAAAAATTGTCCCATTAATTATAGGTCTATTAGTTTTACATCAGTTGCGGGAAAAGATTTGGAAAGTTTAATAAAATATGCTTTGCAAAGTAATTTAGCCGAGTTTAGAATTTTATTGGATAGTCAACACGGTTTCACTGAGGGAAAATCTTGCCTTAAAAATCTTTTGACATTCTTTGAAAAGATGTGGGAGATAAGTTAACTCGTTGGATACAAGAGTGGTTGGATGGAAGAAAGCAAAGGGTTGCTATAAACGGAGTTCATTTAAACTGAATTAATGTCACAAGTGGGGGCTCAAGGCTCAGTTTTTAGGAACTCTGCTCTTTTTGATTTACATCAATGACATGGATGAAGTAATGGTTAATAAAGCACTTACATCTGCTGATGATATTAAGGTCTTGGGTGGCTGCTGCTGCTTTGCAAAAGGATTTAGATTATTTAGTGAGTTGGGCAAATAAATGGCAGATGGGGTTTAATGACAATAAATGCAATATAATGCATGTGGGTTATTATAATTTGAATTATAAGTACAACTTTGATGGAAGAAACATCAACAATGTTATGAAAGAAAGGAATCCTGGTGTAGTGGTTGATCAGTCTCTTAAGTTGTTTTTTTCTTATTTAATAGATTTAGTTTAGTTTAAAGGATAAAATAGCCTAGATGGACCAATAAGTCCCTTGTTGTCCTTAAACATTATGTTATGTTAATGACCTTGGTAGCGATAACATTCAAATTTTATGACACTTACTGTGCCGATTGTTCCTCTGGACTTTGTTCTTTGCCCACTGCAACATCACCTCAAACTTTCGAACTTCGGGAATGTTCAGTTCTCGACCGATCACCATTTGAAACATGGATTCAGAAAGAACAAAAAACTCTTTGTGCGAGGATAGCTGCGACGCCCTATTGTCGTTAAACATGATTTTCAGGTTTATTATGT